ACATTTTGAGTTCATTCTTGTGTACGTTATAAGGTAAAGGTTCAACTTAATTCTTTTGCATGTGGATATTCAGTTTTCCCAGCACCATTTATTGAAGAGATTGCCCCTTTTTTTTTTTTCCCCCATTGCATGGTACTGGCATCCTTGCATATGTCATTTGATCATTATATATGATGGTTTATTTCTGGGCCTTCTATTCTGTGCCATTGATCTATATATTTGCCATCATGCCAGTACCACACTGTTTCAATTATTGTAGCTTTGTAAATGTTTTTTGAAATTAGAAAGTATGAGACCTCCAAATTTGTTCTTTGTTTTCAAGATTGCTTTGACTATTTGGGGTTCTAGAGATTACATATGATCTTTAGGATGGTTTTTCTGTTTGTGCAAAAAATGCCGTCGGGATTTTAATAGAGATTGCATTGGGTAGCCTGGGAATTCTGGCAGTGTTAAGTCTTCCAATCCATTAACATGACTGCCAGTTTCAGCAATGTTTTGTAGTTTTCAGTTTGGTTAAGTTTATTCCTAAGTATTTCATTCTTTTTGAAGCTATTATAAGTGGGATTGTTTTTTAGATGTCCTTTCTGGATTGCGATTGTTTGTGTGTAGAAACTCATCAATTTTTGTATGTTGATTTTATATCCTAGACCTTAGCTTAATATGGTTATTAAATTTAACAAGTTTCTTTTTTCTTTTTCTTTTTGGCAAAATCTTTAGGGTTTTCTACATGTAACATTATGTCTTCTGCAAACAGATAATTGTATTTCTTTCTTTCTTTCTTTTTGAATGCCTTTTATTTCTTTCCCAATTACTCTGCCTAGGACTTCCAGTAATGCTGAATGGAAGTGACAGTGGCCTTGCCTTGTTTCTGATCTTATGGGAAAATCTTTCAGCATTTCACCATTGGGCATAATGTTAGCTATAGGCTTTTCGTATATGGGCTTCATTATGTTGAGATAGTTTCCTTCTATTCCTAGTTTGTTGAGTGTTTTTATCATGAAAAGTGTTGAATTTTGTCAAATGCTTTTTCTAAATTACTTGAAATAGTCATGTAGCTTTTGTCCTTCATTTTGTCAGTATGCTGTATTGCATTGAATGATTTGTATGTTGAATTATTGTGTTCCAGGAATAAGTCCCACTTGGTTATGGTGTGTAGTCCTTTTAATGTGCTGAATTTGGTTTGCAATTATTTTGTTGAAGATTTTCACATCAATATTAATCAGGAATATTGGTCCGTAGTTTTCTTTTCCTATAGTATCTTTGTCTGATTTTGCTATCAGGGTAATGCTGGCTTCACAAAATGAATTAGGAAGTATTTTCATTTCACTTTTTTTGAAGAGTTTGAGGAAAAGTTTAGTGTTAATTTTTCTTTGACTGTTTCGTAGAATTGTTCATTGAGGCTTTCTGGCCCTGGGCTTTTTTCTCCATTGGGAGGTTTTTGATTCAATCTCCTTACTAGTTATAAATCTGTCCAGAATTTTTACTTCTTCATGACTCAGACTTGATAGGCTCTATATTTCTAGGAATCTATTTTTCTCTAAACTCTTGACCACCATCTCTTTCCTTTGGATCTGGATTACTCCCAGGAACATGACTTTGATTGTAGGTGGTCAAAACTATCCTTTGTATATCTCTGTTGATGGCTTAGTAGGTATGGGCATTGTAGGTTCATCGAAGAGGGCATCCAGTCTTGTGAGTAGCTACTTCATTCACAGGGATACCATAAGTCTTAATATAAGATGCTTAGTGTTTATCAAAGGGTATCATGGAACAGCTACCTCTATGGAGGAAGAAGTACTGCTTTTTCCATTTCTACCCTCTTGGACTTCTATGAAGATAAAGGAGAAAGGTTTAGGCTTCAATATCTAAGATGAATGAATGTCTTAAGTACCTAAAATTAATATTTTAAATGAATATTTTAAATGAATGTTAGAGTAAAATTCTGAAGACTTTTTCCTGTATTACATGAGAATCTTTTTAAAATTCTAAATTTTAAAAATTATAGAAAACAGCTCCTCAGTCCAAATATGATCAACATTAGTTGAGTAGTCATCATACTTACGTAGATTTTTAAAAACTAGTTTGAATACTAAACTAGTTGCCTAATCTTGAAAATGTATAAGTTTGGTTGGGAGGTGGCAGAGTTAAGAGTAGCTACAGAATGGTGATGGCAGATGGAGCAAGAAAGCATGGGAAGCTGATTGCAAATTTGTAACCATTAATAGAAAAATAAGCCAGGATCACTTTTATACTAAGGCAAACATATATAAGCAATAGCACATGAGTTCCATGTAGGTACCACAATATTGAAATACAGCAGGATGATATTCTTTTATTGATGCTTTCTGACTGAATGTTTTTTTCTTTTCTTTGAAAATATAAATTAATTTAAGAATAGAACAAAAGAGTTTGAGGTAACTAATTATATAATTCTGTGTTTTCCATAATAAAACTGGGAAACTTTTTTTTATGCTCAATGGACTTTATATTTGGTCATATTTATCTGATCAGCTAGGGTTTTTTTAACCTTCATTTTTATTTCAAGTTTAGAGTTAGCTTGTAAAGAGATATTCTTATTCCAGTAAACTCCAGATCTGCCTTAAACATTTAAAATTTTCAACTGAATTACTGTTGCAAAACTGTCATATTATTAGGGAATTTAATGCTGTTTTAAGGAATAGCATTAACCTCCAAATTCCAGTGAGGCAGAATATTTAGAGTATACTATTGTATTCTTAGTATCTAAGACTTAGTTTACCTGGATAAATCTATGCTGTATGAATGTTTACTAAATGCAACTCACAAGAAATTTCACATGTTATGTCCATAGTATCACAATCTAGTTAATGAGATAATGACACCACACTGAATTACTCTTCTAAGTATTCTTTGTTTCTTCCTTTCTGCCTAACCTTTTAGCTCTAGAGTGTCTTGAGTCTCACCACTTTGGACCTCTGTCCTTTAAAACCTGTAGGCACTCCCTTAGTGATCTAGTCTTAATCTGATTTCATGGCTTTACCTATCATTTTTGTGCAAATCAGTCCTAAATTATACAGCCCAGACATCTCTCCTAAACTCCCTCCTACTTTATCAGCCTGCCTATTTGATACCTACAGTTTCAAATAGGTACTTCACACTTAACATTTACAAAACTGAACTTCTGCTCTTTCTTTCAAATCTCCTCCTCCAGAAGCCTTTCCTAGGTCAATGATGGCACCTCCAGTCTTAAGGTTGCTCAGGCAAAAAAAAACAGAATAAAGTCACCCTTTATTCTTTTCTTCCTCTTATACCCCATATTTAACCTATTAGGACATCTTGGTGTTTCTGCCTTCTTCAAGACTGTACATGAATTTGACTGAATGATTGTTCTTACAAATTAAAAAACTAAGGCTCAGAGAAGTTAAGAGCACATCCCAAGTTCACATAGTTAGTGATAAAGTCATAATTCGAATTCTTATTTTCTGACTGACCACAAATAATATGCTCTATTCATAATACCAGTGCTTCTGAAAAGTAAGTTACAATTGTTTTTAATTTATATAGTTCAGAAATATCATCTGACCTATTGTATAACTGGATTTTTATAAATAGTGTGTTATTGTTTAGGTTCTATAGGAATTTTCTAAGCCCACAGCAGTTATTTCATAAATACTTGCCAACTCAATTGAATTGATTGGTACTTCTCTCTTCTTGTATATTGCTCTGGCTCAGGAACTGTGTTTTCAATTGTAAGGTATAATTGGTTACAAATTGTGTATTGGGTAAGAAAAAGGCTGGGGGTGGGGGTAGAATTAATGAAATAAAATATTCAAGGAGGTCTCTTAGAAAGCTCTTTGTTAAAATTTTTTGTTTTATCTGTATGAATTTAGAACATGTACTAGCTCTTGCTACCTTATATATAAATACTTTTCTATTTCTTGGAATTTTCATAGTATGTAATATTGATCTTGATACCAATCATTAAGCTTAGATTGTGGAATTATTATTTAAATTATTTAGAGTTTTCTCTTCAGAGCTTCTGTATTAGGGAGACATTTTATAACTAAAATCTATTAGATTGTAAGATTTCCTAATTGATCATAATGGCAAAAAGTCAAAGCATTGGCATCTTGGTAGAGAGCAGAAATTAAATTTCAGTGTTGATTGTATTCTTGAGACACTCCTGTTTTATTGATGTACTGTTTGTATTTTAATAAAAGTTATTCTGTGCTTATGTAATTAAATGTAGCAGAAATGAAGTATGTTAAGCCAAATTTTATGAGATTTAAGTGATATCTTTGAAAGAAACCAAGATTAAGCTTTTGGGAGATGTCTATTATATTTATCGATGTGACATATTTAGAAAGCTGTTCATTTTTTAAAAATTTATGTAAATGTAGAACACTTATCTGTGAAAGAGATTTTAGGTAAAGAGCCCTTGGGATCATTATTTTATCTTTATTTTTCTCTTCCAAATTTGCACTTTAAGGTTTACTTGTTATTTCACCAATTTGTTATTTTATTTATTTTATTTTATTTTATTCCAAGGATGAAAATTTGGTGAATATTTAATTCATAGAAGCAATTTTCACATCCCAAATTCTATCCATCTACCTACCTACCTATCTGCCTCTCTTTGCTATGATAGAAATATTTTTCATGGAGTCCTTCTTAAGGCATTCTTATAGGCTTTGGAAATATCTCTTAAAGCAATAAGATTATATTTGAGGCATCAAACCCAAAAGCCATGCCTAGAAATTTACTCCATATGGCAAATGAATGAGTTAAAGTTGTGTGGTACCTACAGCCATAATGACATGTATTTAGAAAGGAAACTTAGTTTGCAGCATCTAAAAAATGTCTGTTGACAAACAAACCTAAAGTAAGAGTTCAAAAAAGAGATACTTTATTTCTGGAAAATGTGATAGTTCTGTTACCATTTGTAGTGATGGATATCTGTGAGTCTTTATACTGTGAAATAAACTGTGATCAACTCTACTGCTGTCTTTTCTTTTTCATAGTGTATGCCAATTAAAGGTCTAGGATTCGTGCTTGGAGCCTATCAGTGCATTTGCAAAGCAGGATTCTATCATCCTCAAGACTTCTCAGTGAACAACTTTCAGAGTAAGTGTGCTTTGCTTCTCTGCATATGTATGAGTCCACATAATATACACCATTATTAATTATTCAGATTTTCTCTTAACCTTGTTGGAGTTATTTGCTGCAGTCCCCACTGGTCTGACATTCTTTCATCCCTTAAGGAGTTTTTGCTTTGGTTTGTCATCTACTATGCCCTGGAGTACCACAGAATAATGTGTTTATTTTAAGTATGTTTTAGTTTTCAATACATTTCCTGAAAATAATGTTAGCTATGCAGTAAGATCAGTTGGGATTCAGTTATTGAGAGCTGTTGCTACAGAAAGTTTCTAAACCTAACTTTGCTAGTTTGTTTACTTTGTTTGTTAATTTGTTTATATATTAGTTTTCTATACAGCATAAAGAGCTACCACAAAGTTAACAGTTTAAAGAACACAAATTTATTATCACACAGTTTTCATTGGTTACCTTTCCAGTCACAGGTTAGCTTGGTTCCCTGTCTCACCAGGCTAAGATTAAGGTGTCATCTGGGATGCAATCTGATCCGAGGTGCAGGGTCTTCCAAGCTCAGTCAGGTCAGTATCTTGCAGCCTCCCCCCCTTTTTTTTGCTAGATTTTAGTCTACTCTCAGCTCCTAAGAGTTCCTTAAAGCCTGTCCTTGTGACCCTCTTACAACATTGCAGCTCACCTCTTCAAGGCTAGCAAAACAATTTCCTCACTCTGCTCAGACTGAATCATATATAACATAAAATAATTATGAGAGTGAGCATCCCATCATTTTGCCAGATAATGTAAAACTGAAGGAGAGACTATCTCCTCATATTTACAGGTCCACATTCTAGGGGAGGTGATTATACAGGGTGTATACTCCACAATCAAAACTTGGTCATCTGCTATTTTATTCCTACTCCAGAAAATGTCAGGGTTACAATTTGAATATTGATTTTTTACTTTATCTCTAGAGAATGCAGTGTTACCACACTGGCTTGTAGCCAGCTATTGGATATAAAGAAGGAGTGTAGTAGTAAAAGGAGTGGTTTTATAGGAAGTTAGGGCTTGGGGTTACTGAAACTGAGGTACAGGTATCTTTTAGATAGCCATTCACAAATCTGCAAGCCTTATTATTGGTCTGTATAGGAATTTGCATTTCTACTAGGCATAGTTCAAAGGGTACATTGAGATTGAGACCTGAGTTTCTTCCCCTGGGAATTTTGGTAGACATTTGTAGATTTTTTTTGTTTTGTTTCCTCCTGGAAAACATTATTCTTGGTATTGAATCTGTTTACATTTAACATATAGGCTCTGGAGATGAGTAACATTTTGCTATCTCTTCTGTCATATAGTTCAGAATTCAGCCTTTGTTCTGATTAATAGTTACAGGTATAAATCTAAGATGGCCTCCAAGCTTCTGTTCCCACAGACCCTGTCCGATACCTTCTCTTAAGTGTGGGTGGGATCTGTGAATACAGTGAGATAGTGACTCACTCCCTGCTTAGGCTATATTATATAGCAAAGGTGATAGTATAGTCAACTATGTGATTACATTGCATTAAATAAGATTCCCTCCCAGCATAGCCAACTGAAGAGAGATTCTAGTGCTGGCCTTGAAGAAGTAAACTACCTTGTTGTGAGAGGGCCACATGGCTAAAACCTGAGTGCGGCCTCTGAGAGCTGAGAGCAAATCTCATGGACAGCAACCAAGAAAACATGGACCTCAGTTCTATAACTTCAAGCAACTAAATTTTTCTAGAAGCCTGAATACACATGGAAGAGGATCTTAAGCTCCAGATGAGAATACAGCCAGGCCAAAACCTTGATTTCAGTCTAGTGAGACCCCAAGCAGAGAGCCCAGTTACCCTATGTCCACACTTCTGATCAATAGAAACTGGGAAATAATGAATAGGTATTTTAAGCCCCAAATTTCCAGTAATTTGTTATGTAGCAATAGAAAACTAATACAATAGCAGTGATGATAACATTTTCAGGGTAGATATGCTTTTCCTTGTATCTGTGGCAATACCAGGACTACTTTGGCATTCCTCACATTTATGGTCCAGACATAACAGATGATTCAACACCGAAGGATTAAGGGAATAGGTTTTAGCTTATGTTCTGTGAAGGTATTTTGTATCTGGTTTACCCACATTTGTTCTCAGCTCCCACTATGTGACTGAAATAAAACATCTAAATATTTTAGAACCAGAGAATGACTATGCCATTTGCTTATAACACCACCAGGAGAAACTAGTTAACCTTTAACAACTTATCTTTATTTAATTTGCACACTCCTACTTTCTTCCTTATTTTAAAAGCCAGTGTTTTTCACTGGACCTACTTTCTCTAAGAAAAGGCAGCTTCTCTGTGTAAATCTAACTCCTGTGTTGTACACATTGCAGCCATGGAAAAGAGGCCACAGTTTTTAAAAGATGGTCTATATTTAGACATTAGCTGTGATTCAGCTTTGACCTTAGCACATACTTAACCAGACCTGACCTTCCTCAATGACAGAGCAGAAAGCTAGCTACGTGTTATAATTTGAAGTCAGTAAAGTGCGCTTTGACCAAAACTGTCTTTCCTGATGGCCTTGTCAGGTTGCAGGAAAATCCATTATTATTCACTCCTTGTCCTAAAGAAAGAATACAGCAATCTGACCAAGAATGCAAGTTATAACTTACCAGGGTCATCAACTAAGGACTGTCCAAACATTTTTTGTATTCCTTATTATTATTAAAAACATTTACTATTTATTTCTGCGTTTTAATACATTCAGTCTTTTAATCATAGTATCCAGGCAGTTCGTATTGACAGTTGTTTTCTTATGTTCTTAAGGAGCTACCCATGATTAAGGAATGACTATGGGTAGCTCTGGAACCAAGGGTAAAGAGGCATTGAAGATCCCCAAAATGAGATAACATATGTGAACCTGCAAGCATAGTACATGGCATGTGATAAGTGTTCATAGGTGTAGTTAAGTGATAAACATCAGTGATGTATGTAAAGAGATAATCCTTAAACATCACTGGTCATTAGCACTTGGTCTCACATTTTATCATATTACAATAACTAATTTTTTAAAACTAGAACTTTTGGAGAATGAATTTGACATGGGGGACAGCAGAAGTATGACAACCAGTGCTGCATTGAGAAGGGCAGTAGGAAGAATACTTGGGAGCTAGAGGCAACAGGAAGAAATTAGTTGCCTGATCAGGAGAATAGGATACAGAAAACAGGAAAGAACGTACCTCAAAGATTAAATTCACTTACTTTACAGTTCTACATCTAAAACAAGATCGGAAATCCCCACATCTGTTATTGTCATGTTATTGCATTGGAGAGAAGAGCTGAGATATAGTGCTGACGTCTTAGAGAAAATGTAACCGTGACTTAAAAATCCTGTTAAACTATGAAGTGATTTGAAATCTTTATTCAGACTAAGACCCGCAGTAAACAAAGGGCTTGTAAAGACCAACAAGAATATGTTTAAATGACATGATTTAAAATTGTGCTGACAGCCCAGAGACTGTGTTCCTGGCATCTCTCTTGAAATTGGTGGTCATATGTGAACTAATAAGATCTGACACCTGGATGGTAGCAGGATTTCAGAATAACCAAGTACTGATGTATAACTGTCTCTTCAAATCCAGGCTGTTCACTTCCAGGTTGATGAAAAAGAAGAAACTTATGACATGCTCATCTCTCTCAAATCCATCTATCTTAATATGAATTCTGTCTTCAGTGAAACCTCTTTTTTCTCTTTTCCGTAGATACATTCCCAGCCTTTCAGTCTTACTTCTCTTGTCTTTTGGATTGACTTTGGCTCATGTACCTTTCCAGAAAAACCTAATTACAAATGACCCAAACAGGGACTAAAGCAGTCCCTGTTTTGGCAACTCTTGTGTTAATGATGGGGTTGGGGGGAAGACAAGAATGTAGAGATTTTCGGGGGAGGGTGCGGAGCAAGATGGCGGAGGAGTAGGAGACCTGGATTTCCTCTCCTCTCAAGAATTCAGCTGGATAGGGATCAAACCATTCTGAACACCTACAAACTCAACAGGAGATCGAAGAAAAAAAGAGCAACAATTCTCTCATCAGAAAAGTGACCACTTTCTGGAAGGTAGGACGTGCGGAGAAGTGAATCCGAGGCGATGTTCGGGAGGATAGACGGCGGGGGAAGGGGCCTCCATCTGCCGCTTCTGGCAAGTGGTAGAACCATGGAGCACAAAATCGGAACTTTTAAAAGTCTGCTCCGCTGAGGGATGTCACTCTGGTGGCTAAGCGGGGGGTGGAACCCTCCAGGACAGTGTGGTCTCAGGACCCTCGGGGTCACAGAAAGACTGGGGGTGCCTGAGTGTGGCAGAGCTCCCAGGTATCGGAGCAGGGAAGCCGGCTGCAGAGGCGGAGCCCAGGCGCGGGCTCTCAGCTCGGGGTTGCCATAAACCGTGATCCGCGGCACAGTCGGGCCCCTGCTCCTCCAGCAGGGACCCAACAAGCGGCAGATCTGGGGAGACTCACCTTCCTCCCCCGGGAGGAGCCGCGCAGGAGTGCACCGCAGGGATCTGCTGGGTTTGGAGACTCCACCCGGGGTCGGGTGCCAGAGATAGAAACGCGCGGTCACAGGCCGGGTGAGCACGGAGTGCAGCCGGAGACCGGGGAGACGGGAGTGACTGACAGCTTTTCTCTGGGGGCTCACTGAGGAGTGGGGCCCTGAGTTCTCCGCTCCTCCGGGGCGGAAATTGGGAGGCCGCCATTTTCACTCTCCGCCTCCAAAGCTGTAGGGAAAGCTTGCAGGGAACAAAAGCCCCGGAGAGCAAACCCAAGCAGATTACTTAGCCGGGAGGGGGCAAGGGTGGGGCAATTCCGCCTCTGGCAGAGACATTTGGAAACCACGGCAACAGGCCCCTCCCCAGAAGATCAGCGAGAACAGCCAGCCAAGACCAAGTTTACTGATCAATGAGAACAACAGAACTCCAGCGCTAGGGGAATACTGCACATAGAATTCATGGCTTTTTTACCATGATTCTTTAGTCTTTCAAAGTTAATTTTTTTTAACTGTCTTTTTTTCTTTTTGAATTTTTCTTTTTCCCTTTTTCAACCAACATCTTATCAATCCCTTTTTTTTAAAAAAAATTTTTTATTTTTCATTTTTAGAGTCATGTTCTATCCCTTCATATGAAGTAGTTACCCGTATTTTTGGCTTATATATATAAGTTATTCTCTCTTTAAAATTTTGAGATAGTTTCTTCTAACAGATTAAAATATACCCTAAATCTCTAGTATATGGTGTTTTCTATTCCACTGCCTGATCACATCCTCTCCCTTTTTTTTTCTTTTTTCTTTTTTTAAATCCTCTTCTTTCTTTTTTCAAACAACTTCTTATCAATTCCTTTTATAAAATTTTTTATAATTTCCATCTTTACAATCATATTCCATCCCTTCATCATATCAACCCTTATTTTTGTACATATATAAGTTTTTCTTTCTTTAAAATTTTGGGAGGCACTTTCTTCTAAAAGACCAAAATACACCCCAAATCTAGTGTGTGGCACTGATCTATATACCAGCCTGATCATATTTGATCACATTCTGTTTTTTTGTTGTTGTTGTTTTGTTTTGTTTGTTTTTGTTTTTATCTTTATCTTTTTCTTTTTCTTTTTTTTCTTTCTCTTTTTTCTCTCTTTCCCTTTCTTTTCCCACTGCTTCAGGTCTTTTCTGATTTGTTTAGAGTATATTTTCTGGGGACGTTGTTACTCTGCTAGCATTTTGTTCTCTCATTCATCTATTCTCCTCTGCACAAAATGACAAGACGGAAAAAATCACCTCAACAAAAAGAACAAGAGGTAGTACCGACTGCCAGGGACCTACTCAATACGGACATTAGTACGATGTCAGATCTAGAGTTCAGAATCATCACTTTAAAGATACTAGCTGGGCTTGAAAAAAATATGGAAGTTATTAGAGAAACCCTTTCTGGAGAAGTAAAAGAGCTAAAATCCAACCAAGTAGAAATCAAAAAGGCTATTAATGAGGTGCAATCAAAAATGGGGGTGCTAACTGCTAGAATAAATGAGGCAGAAGAGAGAATCAGTAATATCGAAGATGAAATGATGGAAAATAAAGAAACTGAGAAAAAGAGAGATAAACAACTACTGAATCATGAGGGCAGAATTCGAGAGATAAGCGATACCATAAGATGAAACAACATTAGAATAATTGGGATCCCAGAAGAAGAAGAAAGAGAGAGAGGGGCAGAAGGTATAATGGAGCAAATTATAGCAGAGAACTTCCCTAATTTGAGGAAGGAAACAGGCATGAAAATCCAGGAAGCACAGAGAACCCCTCTCAAAATCAATAAAAATAGGTCAACACCCCGACATCTAATAGTAAAACTTATGAGTCTCAGAGACAAAGAGAAAATCCTGAAAGCAGCTCGGGAGAAGAGATATGTCACCTACAATGGTAGAAACATTAGATTGGCAACAGACCTATCCACAGAGACCTGGCAGGCCAGAAAGGACTGGCAGGATATATTCAGAGCACTAAATGAGAAAAATATGCAGCCAAGAATACTCTATCCAGCTAGGCTGTCATTGAAAATTGAAGGAGAGCTAAAAAGCTTCCAGGACAAACAAAAACTAAAGGAATTTGCAAACACAAAACCAGCCCTACAGGAAATCTTGAAAGGGGTCCTCTAAGCAAAGAGAGAGCCTAAAAGCAACATAGACCAGAAAGGAACACAGACAATATACGGTAACAGTCACCTTACAGGCAATACAATGGCACTAAATTCCTATCTTTCAATAGTTACCCTGAATGTAAATGGGCTAAATGCCCCAATCAAAAGACACAGGCTAACAGACTGGATTAAAAAACAAGACCCATCGATATGCTGTCTGCAAGAGACTCATTTTAGAACCAAAGACACCCCCAGATTGAAAGTGAGGGGGTGGAAAACCATTTACCATGCTAATGGACACCAAAAGAAAGCTGGGGTGGCAATCCTTATATCAGACAAATTAGATTTTAAACCAAAGACTGTAATAAGAGATGAGGAAGGACATTATATCCTACTTAAAGGATCTATCCAATAAGAAGATTTAACAATTGTAAATATCTATGCCCCTAACATGGGAGCAGCCAATTATATAAGGCAATTAATAACAAAAGCAAAGAAACACATTGACAACAATACAATAATAGTGGGGGACTTTAACACCCCCCTCACTGAAATGGACAGATCATCTAAGCAAAAGATCAACAAGGAAATAAAGACTTTAAATGACACACTGGACCAAATGGACTTCACAGACATATTCAGAACATTCCACCCCAAAGCAGTGGAATACACATTCTTCTCTAGTGCCCATGGAATATTCTCCAGAATAGATCACATCCTAGGTCATAAATCAGGTCTGAACCGGTACCAAAAGATTGGGATCATTCCCTGCCTATTTTCAGATCACAATGCTTTGAAACTAGAACTCAATCACAAGAGGAAAGTCAGAAAGACCTCAAATACAAGGAGGCTAAAGAGCATCCTACTGAAGAATGAATGGGTCAACCAGGAAACTAAAGAATTAAAAAAAAATACATGGAAACCAATGAAAATGAAAACACAACTGTTCAAAATCTTTGGGATGCAACAAAGGCAGTCCTAAGAGGAAAGTATATAGCAATACAAGCCTTTCTCAAGAAACAAGAAAGGTCTCAAGTACACAACCTAACCCTACACCTAAAGGAGCTGGAGAAAGAACAGCAAATAAAGCCTAAACCCAGCAGGAGAAGAGAAATCATAAAGATCAGAGCAGAAATCAATGAAATAGAAACCAAAAGAACAGTAGAACAGATCAACGAAACTAGGAGCTGGGTCTTTGAAAGAATTAACAAGATTGATAAACCCCTGGCCAGACTTATCAAAAAGAAAAGAGAAAGGACCCAAATCAACAAAATCATGAATGAAAGAGGAGAGATCACAACCAACACCAAAGAAATACAAACAATTATAAGAACATATTATGAGCAACTCTATGCCAGCAAATTAGATAACCTGGAAGAAATGGAGGCATTCCTAGAGATGTATCAACTACCAAAACTGAACCAGGAAGAAATAGAAAACCTGAACAGACCTACAACCACTAAGGAAATTGAAGCAGTCATCAAAAATCTCCCAAAAAACAAAAGCCCAGGGCCAGATGGCTTCCCAGGGGAATTCTAC